TTGGCTAGTTTTCAAACAATTTTTTTGTTTTTCATGATTATTAACTTTAGGACAAGCTCAAATCTAAATTATTTCCCAACTAATTTAGACGCAATGTAAGAAAAACAATCCGTGCTACACCAGCAATATTTTGTAGTTTTCTACTCATGCTAGATCAGACTGGTCCACTTAACACCCTAAACAAATTTTAGATGATTTTTAAAATGTTACATATGGTTTAACAGAAGAAACAAACGAACCTAAAGAGAGAGACTTGAACAAGATTTGAAGGCCACCACATGTAAGGTGAGTCCACCAGGAATTTCCTGAACATACCCGCCCATCCGTATCCCAACAACTATGGCTCCAAATGGTTGACAAGATATATAACCATAACCCAAAACACAATAACATGGTTATGTACTTAATATATTTATTAATAAATCGGAAAAAAAAACATTCTAATTTTTTGAATTATGAAGTATACCTGAGTGGTTTGCATAAGCAACATGGCGGCGGCCGGATTGAGATTCCGGTGGTAAAATGCTTTAACGATGGTGATGATGCTGGTTGCATAAGCTCCTCCGGATCCGGTATTAGCGAATATAGTGATCAGCACATGCTCCTTCATGTTAAATGGTCCGGGATTCAACGTACCGGACCAATTCGTACCAGGTAACCGGAGTTTCCTCATCGGTAGAGTCTTGGCCATGAGCTTTCCTAGAGGGAGAGTGACGATCTGAGCCACGACTGAGGATACCATGAGCTGGTTCGACCGGTAACCGAAGAAATTGTTCACGAACGCGAGTACCACGCATGACACCATTCCTAACAACCATGTACGGAACGTCAAAACCGGCTGTGTCGGATCGTCGGTTATCGGTACGGTTAACCGGACTTCTTCTATAGGACTGTCGTTCTCCTCCTCCTTTTGCTCTTCATCTGCAGCGTCCAACACAAACCGGGCCGAATTCGGTTTAGTCAGAACAACCGAATAAGACCGATTGAAACCAACCAAAATGTTTTAAGTATTAATAATCGATTCGCAGGACTCGACTTGTGTTTTAAGAAATTGCGAATATTCAAAATCAATCAAATAGTATCAGTTAGGTTCTGCCTGCCACAACTGCAGAAACAAGAATCAAACCGAAACAGAACCGAATTTAATTTACCGGTTATGACGATGGTAGACGACTCAATTGTCTTCTCCGAGAGCTTGAATTTAGGCCCTGTGACTTCGAGAGAGCTTGCCATTTTCTATCTTTCACCT